AAAAAAAAAAAAAAAATTCTTAGCTTGGAGATGCCGTGGATTCCTTGCAGCCCTGTGTGCAACCTTGGAGCCGGTTCTCTGCAATAGTAAAGATTGTATTGGGACCCAAACCAGGCACAGTTCTTGGTACAATCTGTCAAGGAATTTAGCTTTGTTCTGCCCATGCCCTGAAATATTGTGCAAGGATAAATCAAAATACAATGAATTAATTTTTGGCAGAGGAAATTTCCAGATAGAGCAGTCAGGCTTCAGAGCATGCCTTCTGCTTACTCCTCTTATCCAGACCTGCAGTGGAAAGAAGCAAAACGTTGGGTAAAACATAAATGTAAAAGAAAAAATTATGCATTTTCATGAGGAAAAGAGAAAGTTTAAAGTTGCAACCAATACGGACGCTAAAAAAAGAGACTGTAATTGTTAAAGATCAACCTTCTGCTCTGTACTGGCACAAACAGGCCCCAAGGATAGGCCCCTCATTTAAGGCTGCAACTTGTAAATATATAAATTTATTTTAAAAGAGAGCTAAGCTTTAAATGTGGGAGGGGTTCCCTACTCCTGGAAAGCAACTGTCCAGGAGAGTGTCTGCCCCAGGGTACTTGAGCAGCATCCCAGTGGACCGGACTCTGTCTCAAGATGGCAACAGAACTTGGCAGCATAGTTCCCTTGTTCCTGCCCCTGCCACCCCATGCATGAAAGACTCTAGATGAGAGGATCACGAGTGTCGCTCCATGGTTTCAGAGAGCCACAAAGGCCAGGCAATGTGTGGCAGAGCATAATCCCTGCAAAGAGGCCATGAGAGGCCATTCTGTGGAATGAGGGTGAAGCCCATGCAGCAAAGGCGACCACAGAATGGTGGAGATGCCAAAGTGCCGTGGGATGTCTTTCTGTACGCTGTGACTGTGTTGCTCTGATTGGTTGATAAATAAAGCTGCACTGGCCTATGCAGGGCGGGATAAGTTCAGGTGGTACATTCAAGATGAAGACGAGATTTAGAAGGATGGGGTGGAGGAGACGCCAGCCTGCCACTGAAGGAGCAACAAGATGCCAGCAGCCCGGTAACACCACAGCCACTTGGCAGCGTATAGTTTAATAGAAATGGGTTGAGTTAAATTGTAAGAGCTAGCTAGCAAGAAACCTGACCCGCAGGCAGGCCATACAATTTGCAATTAACATAAGCCTCTGAGTGATTATTTTATAAGTGGCTGCGGGACCTTGAGAGAAACACAGGGCCATGGGGCTGGATGGGACCAAAAAAACGTATGGCTACACCAAAACCATGGCACATGCCCTAAGGAAAGATGCATGCAGGAAGTGGAGCCATCTCAAGAGAGAGGCTTTGTGTGCTGAAGATAGGCAAACTGGAATTGAAGGCCCTACATCAATCCTCTGGAGACCTGATGATTCCCTCACAAGCCTCAGATGCTAGACATGGAGCCTCAGGATTAATCATCTCTGCATTTTGTTGTAGTATTGTGAAGCTGACACTGCATATGAGTGTAGCCCTTGACACCGCGAGTTACAGGGTAGCTTCATGATGCTGTGTGTGCATCACCTTACCGCCTCAGCTGCTCCTTAAGAATTCCCGGCATTCCATCAGGTGTGGTATAAAAAACAGCCTTAGGGAGCCTAAAGTCTTGAATCCTGATTGTTTGCAGAAATTAATTTGGAAAAATCTTGGAATTTAAACCCTCTCAGTTTTCACATTTTTTTTATTAGTGGTTACTAACTTGTGAGGATTAGTTCTGAGCAGAAGGCATACAATTGCCTCTCAGTGACTCTGACCCACTGTGGTTCTTGTGGCAAAACAGCTGTAGTAAGAACTTGCCGATACCCACGTGTGAGAAGCAAACTGGCTGATTTGGGAGAACGTGGTGCTGTGGTATCTGAATTTGACCTTGTTTATAGCAGCTGCTAATAAATTGACCATGGCGTCTAGCCATTTCCACATGCCTGTGAGTGCAGAAGCAGGTGTCACCTAGAGCACACGAAACTAATTCAGAAGACTCGCGGCGGCAGGGGACCTGGGCGCAAAGGAGCACAGCTCAGTTGCTTTTGTGGTCAGGGAAAAACGTGCAACAGCATTACGTTTGTTGCGCAACCCACAACACAGGACTAAAGAACAAACAGAAGCTAGGCCTGGGGGTGCACACCTTTTAGTCCCAGCACTTAGAGACAGAGGTAGGTGGATCCCTATGAGTTCAAGGCCAGCCTGGTCTATATAGCAAGTTCCAGGTCAACCTAGACTACATAGTAGGACCCTGTCTCAAACAAAACAATATTGGTGGAAGTATTAAGGCAACTCCACGTAGTTAAAAGGGAGGTTTATTTTGTGGGGTAACTTACAAGTGAAGGGATAGGTTACAGGGTTCGGGAGAGGTAAGGTGCAGTCCAGCAGTGTTCTCTGGAGGACTGTTCGGTCTACCTCCAGTGTCCAGGATCCAGGAACCAAGAGAGCCGCATCTCAAGTCTTAAGGGCTCCTGTCTCGGCCCTGACTCATAGGCGTGACAATTACCCGAAGCTTCAATGGGGGTAGCACTTCCAGGTCAAAGCTGGAACAACTACCCACTACAAAACAAAACAAAGGAAAAAAACTAGAAGGAAAGTCAGCCTGGACCACACCCATATGTGCAGTACCTTTTACAAGCTTAAAGTGGTTTGTGTATTTAACATAAACGTTTTCCGTATGCCTAGCTGTCTTTCTAACCATTATTGAAACAGCAGCATACTAGTCCAGTGGGCTGATACAGCATCATTTACTTCATGGCTGTTTGCCTGTGGATATCTGTCATTCAGCTGTTCAGCAGAGTGGAGGTCAGGGTTCCTCCGATGTCGTCCCTCTTGCACATCTGTTACTCCCCAAACCACTGTCCCTTTCCTTGTGCAAGAAGTAAGAATGTGATGTTAGGGGGCCGGGCGGTGGCAATGCAGGCCTTCAATCCCAGCACTTGGGAGGTAGAGGCAGGCAGATCTCTGTGAGTTCGAGGCCAGCCTGGTCTACAGAGTGAGTCCCAGGACAGCCAGGACTGTTACACAGAGAAACTCTTGTCTCAAAAAAAAAAAAAAAAAAAAGAGAATGTAATGTTAAAATCCAGACCATAAAACCCAAAGCAGCCCTTCTCTCTCAGGTGTTGACAGACATCCCACTAAAGGCACTCTGTGAATACCTAGCTAACAGAAGTCCATGTACCAGGATCTTTCACCTGGGGGACTCAGTTTACATCAACGGGGTATTGATGGCCGTTCATCCTGCTCCCTATGCTTTCTGTGCTTGCTGCCTGAGAACCAGAGCCTGGCTGCAGGCTTGCCCTATGAAACCTCCCCACCCTCCGAAAGGTATAAGAAAAGATGCTCCCCACACATCTGCTTTAAGGACCCTGCCTGGTTCCTCTCCTCAGAGCCTCTGCCATACAGTTGTCTATCTGTATAATAATAATAATAACATGATACTAATAACACTTCTAATAAACTCTTTACTCCCAACAATTCATCTCAGGGTCCCTCTTGAACTTGCATCTGAGACATTTCTTAAAGCAAAACAAAACACAATAAAGACCTTTTCTCAACTTTCCATCTCAGTGAGATGGGAAAGGCAGATAACAGCTTCAAATGTGATTCGGCTTATCAGTGTTGGCCAAAGCAATAAGGCTCTGGTAGAGATCCCTGCCATCCAATAGGAGATGGTCTGAAATCCTTCCCCTCAGGCCTGGCACTACACATAACTTTTCCAGGACAGAAAAGCTGTCAGAAGAGCCTGGGGAACCATTTTCACTCCAGCAATTGGGAAAGTGCGTCCTCTACTGGTCATTTGATGAACTGTTTGAGGAGAGAGAGGTGTATTGAGATAGAGGAGAGGCTACTGGACCATAGAAAAAGGCAAGCCTTGACTAAAACTCTGGAGTCCCTGCTGTAGGAACTAGCCTCCTCTGCCTCTTGCAGAGTGCCTTGGAACCACCCAGGAGGTTGGATGAAACAGTGCTCCTGGCTAGCCGTCTGGAGGCCAATTGTGGTGTTATGTGTGTTCCTTTACCACCTCAGGCTCAGATGCGCTCCTGGCTTGGAGCTGGAAGTAACCTGAGGAACCAAATCTCTACAGGGTTCCTCTTCAGTATTATCTGCCGCTCTGTCCCCACGCCCAACAAGCCAATTGAACACTGGCGCATGCATCTAGACTGTTTTCTGTTACCACTACACCCTTCCTTAAGGCACACATAACCCCTAATGCCTCTTATGAAAAAATAATAAAGAAAAACTTTGGAAGGTTGGAGATGTAACGCCGTTGGTAGAGCGCTTGCCTAGCATGTGGGAAACCCTGGATTGGATTCGCAGCATCACAGAAACTGGGCATGTGGTGCACAGTTGTACTATTACCCATCATTTGGTAGGTGGAGGTGGAAAGATCAGAAGTTCAAGGTCATCCTTGACTACAATAGTGAGTCGGAGGCTGGGGTACATGAGACCCTATCTCAATTTTTTTTCCCTTTGGGTCCTCGCTGATTGTAACCCACTGGGCAAAATGAGTGACCTGGGGCCTCCTCACTTTGCCACAGATGTTTAATCAGAAGGGCATGAAGTTGGACGTGGGCCACAGTCTTGAGAGAGGGCAAGCTAGGTCACTCTTGTGCAGCAGGTATCTGACAGTATCCCCAACTTCGGGCCAGCAGCGACAGCACCAGGCGCTGATCCATCCTAGTATTCCACAGGGACAGCTTCAAGTAGGAGCTGAACTGATGCCAGATCCTGAGGGACCTAGGCTGGCTCTCAGACACTTGGCTGTGGTCTGCCACTGGCTTTTCTGCCCCCTGGGACCCAGGAGATGCCTGCTCAGATTGTTCCGCAGTGCTGGGGCTGTGCGGACCCTCAAGAGAGAAGGTGGCCTGAGCCGTTGTTCTGGATAGCTACCCAAATTGTCTTGAAGGCTGTCCCTCTGTCAGCCACCCCATCCTCCAGACTCACAGAAGGGATCTGAGTCAGTGATTAGCCAAGTGGAAAGAGGTGGACTCTGTGACCTTCTAGTTACCATGATGACGGCAGCAAGTCACACTAATGAGTCTCTAATTTAGTCCTTGGGATCTTTCAAGAAGGAAAAGCCCAGTGAACCATGTCTACCTACTCCCAAGTCAGATTTCTGAAAATTATGTTTGTTTTGCCTTTGATGATGGATCAGTATTAAAAGTCTTTTTTGTTTGTTTGTTTGTTTGTTTTTGTTTTTCGAGACAGGGTTTCTCTGTGTAGCCTTAGCTATCCTGGAACTCACTCTGTAGCCCAGGCTGGCCTCGAACTCTGTGATAGATCACAGAGATCTATCTGCCTGCCTCTGCCTCCCAAGGCATGCGCCACTGCTGCACGGTTGAAACTCTGCGTGTGCTTGTTCTCATACCCTCCGTGAAGAGGCGTGTTTAGTCTTATGGGATTTGTCCACTCAGGACACCATGGGATAGCTGTAGCCTAGTATCCAGGGGTTACTAGTATGGGCTGGGCAGCAAAGCTGGGGCTCCTGATAGCTGAGCTGCTCCATGCTGCTTTGGGGATCCCATCTATTCCATAACCACTGCTGACAAGAAAGGAAACAGTCCAAAGAGACACTTGTGTCCCTTCCTTCAGCTGTTAGACTACTGAAACAATGGACCCCATCCCCACTCCCCAAATTAAAATTTCCCCAGGAATTTCATGCTGGGAGAAAGGAAAGGCCTAAGCCCTGGTGCTAGCCAGGGGTGGGGGTGGGGAGCTCGTTTCCTGGGAAGGGATTTCATACCGTTCTGGGAACTTGTATGCGAGATCACTGGAGCTGAGACAATGTGGCTCAGCGATGAGTGTGGCCACATCGTGACCCTGACTGCTTAGTCACACACCTCTTCTCTACACCTCATGTCAGCTCCCTGAAGACTGGCTTGGGGCTGAAAGGATAAAAAAGGAAAGGCAAAGTGGGTGACTTCCAGCAGGCCCTGCCAAGGTGCGCCACGTGCAACAGGGTCAGTGCAAGAGTGAGAGGCCGTGTCAGACTGGGGACAGAGAGAGGCAGACAGACAGACAGAGAGACAGTGAAGAAACAAGAAGAAGAGAGGCAGGAGAGCGCACTGTGCCCAGCAGGCGATCTTAAGGGGTGCACATGTCTCCTAGCTGGAAAGGCACCTGGTGACAGGTGATGATGTCACTGCTTTGGTGGCAAAGGCAGGCTGCTGCGGTGACAGGAAATAACAGGGGCATCCCTGGACCTTTCTATTTGTTCCTCTTTCCAATCCACATTGAATACATTGGCTGTCCATGTGTGTGTGGTGAGCGTGTGCGTGCATGCGTGTGTGTTTGTGTGTGTGTGTGTGTGCTGTATGTTCATCTGTCCATGCATGTGTATGTGTGTATGTGAAGTCAGTGGACAATGTCAGGTTTTTCAATGAATCTGGAGTGAGCTCCAAGTGTTACCAGGGAGACCAGAGTTCCCTTTGGGGGTTCATCGTCTGGTTAATAAAAGAGTTTAAAAACTGACCCAGAAAACATGAGAACAATTGTATTAGAGTTTAGGAGACAAACAACAGGGTTGGCCAGCTGTAAGTCCTGGCAGCTGCTGGGAAGAGGCAGAGAAGAGGAGGAGATTAGAAATGGAGGTCAGTAAGCCGCTGTGTGGCAGAGGGGAAGAGGGCTGCAAAGAACCAGCCGGGAAGTCCAGAGTATCTGGGAAAGACAGAAACCAGAAAGCCGTGCTTTCTGAATTAAGACTCAAAGCGGACAAGCCTCATGCAAGCCCTGCAAATGGCTGCAGTTGTAATCCCTGCAAGGAGGCCATGAGATGACATTCTGTGAATTTAAGGGCGTAGTTATTGTGCCCATCTTCTTAGCATGACTTTAGGTCAATCAGCTTTCCTGAATGGAGCGGGGAGCAGGTGGACTCCTGGCCAGATGATTGACAGGTCCAAACGGACTAACTTTTCGAAGGAGGAGAGAATAGCATGCCTGATCCATGTCTTGCCTCTGCAGCCTCTACTCAGATCCCAGAACCCAGCCGTGGGACTGTCCTTCCTTCTTGGGCACTAGGTGGCAGTGAGAAAACTTTTCTGTCTGCACCCTGTTTGGGATCTGTCTCTGAGGTGGGTGCTCAGGGGACCAACACTTTTGCTTTGTGTCTTTGGGCAGGTGACTGACCTTTCTGGACTGAGTGTCTGCCTCTGTGATCTGGACCAGGACTGAATGTTTGCATTTCTAACCAGTTCTCGGGTGATGTGGTTACTCCTGCTCAGGTAGGGCTGATAGCCATGCGGTCTCTCCTAGTCTAGAGTCTCACAAGAAGAGGTGCCCACATCCCCCTTCTCTGAGAGCCTTCATCTCTGGATCCCAAGGGGATGCTCCACCTAAGGCCTCAGAGACTGAACAATCAGCCTTTCTCCAACACCGGAGGGTTCAACAGCAGGCAGATGCCATATAGAGAGAACAGAAAAAGGAGAGAAGTAACCGGAGAAGGTCATGAAGGAGGAGTGTCATCCCAAACGGGATGGCCAGATAGCCACCTCTAGTACTGAGTTCCTGAAATAGGAAGACGGAAGCCCAGCAGACAGAGAGGCCCCTCAACACTCCTGGGGGGCGCCTTTCCCAGGCTCTGCACTGCAAACTGGCCTCAAGAGCCTCCCACCTGACTCTGCCCTCATCTTCTACCATTTGGGTGGGAGAGCCTGAGCTGCCTTGGGAGCCCCCTCTTGAAGATGATGGTACTCCGGCACTAGAATGGATGCTTGGAGTAGAAGACTTCCAACAAAGCCTGTAAGAAAGAAGTGAAGCCAATGAGATTCAGGGCCTACCTGTTACAGCATCTGCCCTACCTTCATTCAACGTATTGACGGCCTCTCTGACCGAAAGTGAGAAAGGTTCTGAGTGCCAGTGCTTCCTCTCTTACAGTCTCTCTGTTACCCTCACGAGAGCAAGCCCATTTCATAGCCACCACGGACTGTTTGCCTCCATTAAGTCCTGTTAGGCCTGTGCTGTGCTCAAGATCCTGTCCCGAAGTTCTCCAGCAGAGGAGGTGTTTGATCTTTATGCTGACAGTTCCCCACACAGGCCAGTCACCGGCGCCAGCTGCACTTGTGCTGGGAAGACACACTATGGGCTTGGTTAGCATCAGGAGGCAGAGTTTTTCTGGTCCTAGGATTATGGGCTAAATCCAAACATTAGAGGAACAGAGTGTGGATTCAGCAAGAACAGATCCTTCTCTGCTTTGAGGTTGGAGACGTATCAGTGTGGGGATCTTGGGGTGAGCGGGTCCTTACTCATCTCTTCTTAAGTGCAGCCTCTTCCCCGCTCCTCTTCAGCCTTTGTTCAAGGTCTGTCCTAGGAGTTGAATGCTGGTGATTGACCTGTGTACTGTTGGATCCTTAGGACCTTGGACAGCACAAGGCACATAGTAGGTGCTTAGGAAACATCTATGTAATTAATAAGCCAGGTAAACAGCTTACTGGAATTGGCAGCAAGCTGGTGGCCACTTGAGAGTCCCAATTCATTTAATGTTATTACTCTAGGGATGCTGTCTGGTCCCTGCCCTGCCTCTCCTGAGGACAGTCTTCAGTGATCCCTATCCTTTCCCTAAAACTCTGTGGACCACAGGGTTAGTTGAGTCCTCTAGAGACCACACAGGCCTCTGGGTTCCAAACTTAACTGGGCTCAGTTCTGAGGAGTGTGACCCCCACCCCTGACAATTCTGCTTTCATGGCTGTGGGCCGCAGCCTGGATGCTGAGACTTTCTTTTAGCTCCTTCAGATGGTTCTGTTGTAAATCCCAAGTCTAGCACTAGAGACCTGATCCTTCCTTTATTTCATAGTCCAAACCCCTGAGAAGAGAGAGGCTATGGCCAGGATTGGGCAACTCTTTATATATATATTTAAACTTTATTTTATGTGCATTGGTGTGAAGGTGTGAGATCCCCTAGAACTGGAATTGCAGATGGTTGTGAGCTGCCATGTGGGTGCTGGGAATTGAACTTGGGCCCTCTGGAAGAGCAGCCAGTGCTCTTAACCGCTGGGCCATCTCTCCAGACCAACTGGGCAACTCTTTAGTGACAGAGCTGAGCACCCTGCCCACCCAGGAAGCCCTGTCTCCATGCACACGGCAGCTTCATTACCTGCTCAGAAAATGCAGTTGAAGACAATTGGCTTCAAGTCACATCCTTCCAACATCTCCTTGATCTGCCCAGAGGCTTTAGTTTTAATTCAGCAGAGAAAACAGCCTCCCTTGGGGTTTCGCCTTCAGCTTCATGCAGTCCAGATTTTACAGTCACAGATGTGATTTGCTCAATTTCTTGGGGGCACTCTGTACCTGCTCCAATGCCTCTCACTTCTGTCTCTCCTCAGCCTTGCTGGGCTCTTCCTGGCCTGCCTTCCTCCACCCCAACTGACCTCTACCTACTCATTTTCCTCCTGTCCAGTCCTTGGCACCTTGTCCCTACTCCCCCTAAATTGCTCCCAAGCAAGATGTGGACATCCTTGACTGTAGTCCTGTCTTTCTGTCTTAGCTGATAAACCCCCTATGGCTCTACCAAGAGAGTGCCAGCCCCGGGAGACAGCTCACTCGCAGCTGGAAAACAGCACACTTGACTCATGGATTTGGAACACAAACATGCTGCTTTCGTCGTGTGTGTGTGTGGGGGAGAGAGAGAGAGAGAGAGAGAGAGAGAGAGAGAGAGAGAGAGAGAGAGAGAGAAGCAGCCAGAAAAAAACAAAAAATAAAAAAACTAAAACAAAAAATCCCACACTGAAGGCCCCAGCGAGGGGGTGGGTGGGGAATCTGGGGAAGATATCTGTGTCTGATAAACAAGCTCCCCCAGACTCCCTGAGCATGTTGAAAGCTGTTGGAAAGTTTGCACCCCATTAGCCTCAGTAGGAACAGGAGCACTGAGCTCTTACACACTGTAGGGCGTGGAATGACCAGGCATCAGCACACACACACTAAGTGCGCCTCCCAGTCTCCGTGGCGGGGGCTGCTCTGCTCCCCGAAGTCTCCGTCTCCGTGGCGGGGGCTGCCCTGCTCCCCGTAGTCGTCTCCGTGGCAGGGGCTGACCTGCTCCCCTCAGTCTCCGTGGCAGGGGCTGCCCTGCTCCCCGCAGTCTCCGTGGCGAGGGCTGCCCTGCTCCCGGCAGTCTCCGTCTCCGTGGCGGGGACTGCTCTGCTCCCCGCAGTCTCCGTGGCAGGGACTGCCCTGCTCCCGCCCGCTGTTGCCACCTCTTTCTCTGCCCTCCAGCCCTGGCTCCACAGATGCCTTTCAGAACTTGTCTGCCCCTTACCCACAGGCCTTAAATCAACCACAGAGGTACTTACATCCCTTAGCGGCCGTACAGGGAGCAGCCAAGGTGTGGAACAGGTGAGGCTCCTGTCCACAGAAGAATGAGGAAAGGGAATGTGGTAGATGCACACATGGAGTTTTAGTCTGCTCTAAGAAGAATGACATGATGTCATTTGCAGGAAAATGGAAGCAGCTGGAGACCATCACGGTTAGCAGAATAGCTCAGAATCAGAACCGTGATGTCACGAAGCGGTTTTCTATGTGATGGAAGAGGAAGTGGAGCAGTCTGGAGGAGGAAGAACTCCTGGGAAGGAAGGCTACAGGAGAGAGGGGTGGGATGTGATAGACATGGTCAAGGTATGCAATACGCTTTATTGAGAAAGTCTTTATATAATCCATAGCTGGGTACAATAACTAGGCACCAAAAACACTTTTAACGTTTTATGTGTGTGGGTGTTTTGCCTACATGTAAGCCTGTGCACCACTCTTGTGCCTGGTACCCATGGAGGCCAGAAGAGGATGTCAGAGCCCCTGGAACCGGAATTATAGACCATTGTGAGCTGTTATGTGGGTGCTGAGAATGGAACCCTGGTCCTCTGGAAGAGCAGCCAATGCTCTTAACCACAAGTCCATTAAAAACATTTTTAAATCCCTTCTCTTTCAACGTGATAGTAAAACTGACAGTGGAGTATACAGATGGCACACAGTCTCAACACTGACACAGCTGGAGATGAGGAGTGGGTGTATACCCTCAGCATCTCAGAGCTAAGGCTGGGTGAGAGACAATTCACCACACACCCGCTGCTTCCTGCCGCACCACCTCATCGAGCTCTTTGGGAGCTTGTGTGAGGTGGGTGCTACTGGACCAGTTTCAAGAGAGGAAATATTCACAGTTGCCGAGTTTACTATAAACAGGCTTGTGTGAGATGATTCTGCCCAAGGGCAGGCTCAGGAAGGGTTCTGAGCTTGTTGAGGTGAGCTGGGACAAGTGGATGCTGGATAGGGTAGGGGTGTTCAGGGCACTTTTTCTCTTTTCTAATTATTTATTTTTATTTTATGTGCATTTGTGTTTTGCCATGGGTCCCCTGGAACTGGAATTACAGACAGTTGTGAGCTGCCATGTGGGTGCTGGGAATTGAACCCAGGTCCTCTGGATGAGCAGTCAGTGCTCTTAACCACTGAGCCATCTCTCCAGCACCGAACACTTTTTTCTTCTATGATGCTGGTTCTTTCTAAATAGCCTAGAGTGGCTCAAAACTCTTCGTCTCCTGCCTCAGCCTCCTGAGTACTGAGATTACAGGCTTGACATCTAATCAAATACACTTAAAAAATCCATTTTTTTTAGTGCATGTGCAAACACATGGTGCACAGAGGGAGGTCAGAGGTCAGCTTTTGGGTGTGGGTCCTGGGGATCAGACTCAGGTCATCACGCTTGGCACAAGCAGTGCTACCCACTGAGCTACCTTGCCAGCCCTCCATGAGCCTTTGACTCCCGGAGTTTTCCGTTTCTGATGGATTTATTGAGATGCAAGCCTCCTGAAGTAGAGGTACACCTGTGACTGGCCGCTTCCCCAGGGAGAGATGGGCAGGGAGCCACCAGACAGAGTCTGGAGAGCCAGCGGGCTCCTCACAGATGGCCATTGTGAGAGAAGGCAGTCGTTTACAGTGGTGACCCTCTTCCCTGGGCAGATGGGAGCTGCCATCCGAGAAAGTCTTCAGTGTCTGTTCTTTCTAGCCAAATGTCCTCAGAGAACCTCAGATGCTGGACTCTAGGAAGGACTGGGACCAGGGCCCTGGGTGCATCCTGCAGGTTTTGGAGACCCAGCTTCTGTCCTGGTTCTGGTCTCAGTTTTGAGTTTCTGGCTCTCCTTCATGCTTGCCCTCCTCCCGCAGCCCACACACAGGGACAAGGGACAGAGGTAAACAGGGTGCTTGTTTGGAGTTTGGTTTTCAGTGCTGATCACTGAACACAAGGTCCCCTGTGTGATTAGCGGCACAACTCAGACACAGACAGCCTGGAAACACCTGTGATTGTTGTTTACGTCTATTTTTCATTTCTTTCTCTTGCTATTAAAAAGAAAAAGGGGCAGAGGCTGGGTGGTGGCACACACCTTTAAGCCTAGCACTCACAGTACTCGGGAGGCAGAGGCAGGCAGATCTCTGGGTTCGAGGCCAGCCTGGTCTACAAAGCAAGTTCCAGTACAGCCAGAGCTACACAGAGAAACCCTGTTTAAAAGAGAGAGAGAGAGAGAGAGAGAGAGAGAGAGAGAGAGAGAGAGAGAGAGAAGAGAA